GTGAAATGTTGGGTCTATTATTCCACGACCGTTCCGCGTGAAAAATTCATTCAAAAAGGATATTTCATCAACCCCTATTTCGCCAATGGGCCGACTCGGTTAACAGTTGAAGGTAAAATGCGTGCCGCGTACACTAAATAGGCAATGCTTGGAGAAAGAAAGCATTTAGAGAGTCTTTGAGTTGGAACTTATCATTTGGGTGAATGCGGAGGCTTGCATTGTGTACCTAGGATGGTGAAGACAGAGAAAGATGGCTTAACTGAAGAAGCAGATGGACTGACTGCATTATGAGAGCCAGCCCCAAAAGTAACGGGACTAGATAACCGTCAGTGGAATAACCGCTTTCGTTGAAACATATTTCATTGGTTGTTCTTCAGTCGCCCTTGACAGATGAGTTATTTTCTAAGGATCGCTTTTGACCGCTTGTACGCGACAGTGATCAATACAGCACTTGCGTTGATTTTTATCTTGATTGGTCAAGTGCACCAGGCGATCAATTGGTTATCCAGAACGGGGTTCACGGTAATAGGAAAGCCTAAAAGAGACAGTGAACCACAACAGCTCTAGAAGCTTGATTCATNGGTGCTGGATTCATAGAAATCGAGCACACAAGGTGAACGATTAGGCAGTGTCATTTGGCCTCACTAGTATGCCTGCTTGGTATTCAACTCGAGACTGCCCGAGTCCACATCATGCGCCTACCAGCTAGCTAAAACTGGGAATCTATTTTTAGAATTGAGGCTGACAGAACCCATAGTTGGTGGCCCGCTGGAAGCCACGAATTTAGAAGAATTTCTAAAGGGTGTCCCAGGAAAATCCGACACTGGTGTGCATGGTGTTCCATCAACTAACAATACACAATCAATCCTTAGGAGTAGCGTTGTTTTCCTCACCTCAATCAACAAATTAACAGAGTGCAAAATTGTCAGCTCGAATGGGAAGAGATGGGGCAATATTTTGTCAGCAACCTCGGTGTGGGAAGGTTCAGTGACGCCGCAAGAGAATCTCATACACAAAAACTAAGCAAGTCGCTTCCCTGGATGATCCTCAGCTGATTAACCGGAACAAAATTGAACTTCAGTGTCCAGGGTGTGACAAAGGTTTCCAATTCTTCTCGAAAGTATTGGACCTTCCGAAGAACACACTGAAGGACGCGAGATCTATACAAACTTCTTCAAGCTTTCAAGCGTTCAAGTGCGCTGCATCTGCACTGCTGACAAATGCATGCAGATGCACTTAGTTTGCGCTCCAGAACGTCGCGTGTACAGGTTTGTTAAACCGGAGAACACGGCAGCCCATGTCTTCGTTCTGAAAAACGCTCGTGCATATGAAACGGTCTGCGACTGCGTGGAGTCTCTGTGCATCAAGAGGCAGGGCAATATTTGCGGGCAGTATGGTCCAGGGGGATTGAAGATGTTTCCCGGCACAGAAGGACGCAGCACGGAGCAGAAGCGAATTTCGATTGAGACATGTGTCGTAAAATGTTCAATTGTCGCGATGGTCTTCGGAGGCACAGTAGAGCCGTGCACGGCCACGAATGACTGAACTATTTAGTGCAGTTCGAATCGATGTAGCCAGAAATGCCTGGAAGTAGTGGAGGCCAAGTCAAGGTGAAACTAATTGGTCGGCTGGATCCAGTTTAAAACCGCACCGTATCCCCAGGCAAATGATTCGGATGGCTGGAGGTTTATACCACAAAAGTGATCCTAATGTAGAAGTGGGAACATCGATAACTCCGGCTGGATTTGCTTGGCGATGTGACCCATGAACTCCAATGAATAGCGGCGCTGACGATGGTCGCAAAGTGGAGTCGCTTTGTAACGTTTGCTTGGATTTGAGCGATGAATGATTGGAGTCAATGGATATCCAGGAAAGTACAAGAAGACGTATTCAGGAGACGATGGATGTCCATTTTTTTTAAATAGGATGCAAACGAGAATTTTGCCGATGGTCTTTCACGGGTCTGTTGGGATTTTATTTTATAAATAACTCCTCAGCAAAAGCCTCCTTTCTTTCGCTGGTAGTTTCCTTCATTCCGCGGAGAAATATCTACATTTGTTATCGGAATTGAAGCGTCCTTGAAGTTTCCTCGGGTAAATAAATTCCTGTAGAAGCAAATTCAATTTTCTGCTGATTGTGTACTTACTTCTCAGTTCGATTACTCGAGCATCTGAGTGCTTCATTACGACTCTAGGAAACTCGAGGAACATCAGAAAATGCGCCGAGTCGGCAGCAGAAGCAGTTCGCGGAACGAAGGCCTTAACCCTTTCATTATGCTGACGTCCCAGGATAATCATGAAGATCCCGTTGCCGCAACCCCTTGAGGATAGGGACGTTTGGACCTTTGTGGAGGACTTTGAGGAGGTTGCGGAGGCTGCCGGGCTGGACACCGACCAGGGTAATTTGGCAGCGCTGAAGACTGTCCTCAGGGACCAAACGAAGGCGGCCCTGGATGTGGCCAGAATAGGCCCTCGGAAGGCGGACTGAGCCGGCGCGAAGGGAGTTCTTGCAGCGTAGTTCGACACGCCGGCCGACCGCCAGGAGGCTATGAGGCGGTTCAAGACGGCCAGGATGGCACCCAGCACACAAACTTACGTCAGTGATATCCTTACGACTGTTGACAATACGCCCGCCAGTTTATTGCAAATTTCGGCGAATGAATCATTGACTAACTGGGCGCTGTCCTCTCGAATTTACCCCTTCTTATGTGCAACCGATTTGTACTCAGCCGTTCTCCAACTGGCTGCTGAAAAGGATATCGTTAGCTCTGAAAACGTTGCCAGTCTCAAAACAATGAATTCCAAACTCCAAGACTGATGGAACGCGAATTGGAAAGAAAAACGAAGAAAATCGTACTCAAGCATACACAGTGCGTTCTAAATGCATTGTATTGAACAAGATCCGGCGAGTGGGACACACCCAGTTTGTGTGCTGGGGTCAGCGACGGAGGGCTTGACACTGCCGCACAGAACCTTACAACACAGGCGGGTAAAGTGTGCACGCTAGAGCAGGGATTAGTGTTGCTAGTAGTCAAAGTGGTTTCCGTACATCTTTGGGAACTGACAGTTGGACATAACCGTCGATCGAGCAGGAACGGTAAGTCCGATTGGGTGCGTTCTGGAGAAAATGCTCTCGGCATAATTGTAACAACTTGAGTATTTAAAGCAACAAATTCTGCCATATCAGGTTGAGAGTGACATGGGAAACGTGACACCGTCGAGTAGACTCAGTAGAATGCACTCTCATTCAAGAATTGAGGGCTGGCTAAGCCAAACTATAAAAACACGAGGTATTATCCGGGGATCGTTTGGCGCTCAAATGGCTCAACTGGGAAGCGATCACCGTCGGCTAGCATTTTCACAATAATTTGTATCGTTATGAATGCTATGAGCATCAGGATTATATCTTCCATTTTGCGCTGCAGTCGTTCCAAGAAATTTAATCTGAGCACTACCGCTCGAAAGGACCTGGATAGGCAGACACGTGCTTACAATATACTATGTGTTAGGAGAACCAGCACCGGACGTAACTGGACTACATAACTGCCAACAGAATAACCGTTTTTCGTTGAGGCAGATTACATTGGTTGTTCTTCACTCGCCCTTCACAGAAGAGTTGTATTCTTAGTATCACTTTTATGACCCGCTTGTACGCGAAGGTGGTCGATAGATCAGACGGTTCGCACGTTCGTTCACTTTTTCTGGTTTGGTCGAGCGCACAAGACGATCGATTGGCTATCCAGACCGCGATTCATGGTAGTATGAAGGCATTAAGTAGACAGTGGGCAGCAACAGCGCTAAAAGCTTCGTTTATTCACGGCGGATATTTCAAACCAAGAATAAGTGGTCCAGGTGTACCGCACTACACCTCAAAACTATGTGGTATTTCGGATGGCCACCACAAGTTTTGCTCTCTTGACGTAACGAAAACTGATAGATGGGTCTGGTCATCGCAATTTGCATACTTCCAGGTTGGGGTAATGCAATCATTTGGTCCGGTCACGTGAACTGCGTACTCGGCAGCATTTAAAGCCTGAAATTTAGAATGCAGAAAGTGTTTTCCTAATTCCAATCATGCAAATATGACGGTTGTACTTACTACATGAATTGCAAAGCCGGTCTATCCGGAGCCACTGTTTCCACAGGGCCACGATTTTAGTGACTTTAACAATAATATGCAACGGATGAAAGCTTGTGTTTGCATGGAACCCTTAAATTAATGAGGGATGGCCACAATGATATATACTACAGAAGAGTTTCCTCCCCCAAAAAACATGTTGGGGATTGATCAGTAATTCTCATAAAGAAAATCACTCGCAGGGTTGCTGAAAACTCTTGGACAGCCAAAGACCGGTTTCGCCGTTCATGGGGCTACTCAGGTAGATTGATCGTCAACCTTATGTGCCCATTTATAAAAGATGTCTTGTAATGAGTATGGTTGCCACAAGGGAACCACTTGGTAGGGGTTACGTTGACCAAATCTTCACATTTCGTCAGATGCTACAGAACCGCCCTACGTGTAAGCGACCTACAACTCTAGTATTCTTGGATTACCGAGCCGCATATGAATCGGTCGACTGGTCTGGTATCACTGGCGCTCGCTCATTACTTAATATCGACGAAGTTCGTGAACACAAAAAGGTTTCTGTGGTTCCAGACTTCCGGACGTGTGTGAGTATACGAAAATATCTCCAAAACCGTAGGTTTACAAAACGGTTCCAAAACGATTACATACTCCCTCGATTCCAAATTAACGTCATGATTTCGGGCAGTAGCTGATACACTGTTCCGCCCGTTATCGACGCGAAATGGGCCATGAAGGCGATCGAAAGTAAAGGTAATCCGACCTGTATCATCTTTGTTGTGAGACAGTCAATTAGGTCACTAGTTGGCGCGATACAGAACCGGATATTCATAGGAATAAGTGTCTTCTATTCGGACGCCTTGACCATCTGGAAGCCTCTGCATCAGTGGTTTCGGTTCCTTGGGAGGACAATAGAAGAATTTTAGTTATTCCACTTTCACTGGTTGTTGAGCTCATGTGACGTTGGTGGCTGTTGGTTTATGGGGTGAAAATTATTCCTACAGTTATATTGTCCAATAACTCGGACAAACAAAAACCCCTGGGAACAAACTTTTCGAGTGATTCAGTGATTCGTATTCCTCAAATATGGGCGGGAATTCTCAGAAAGTGTCACATGTTGTTCCGCACGACGTCGACGATTCCGAGCTGCGCTCCCATTTCGGTCAGCATGTGTGAATCTACTGGTTTGCAGATAGGACGAGTAAATTGCGGAAGAGAAATGCGCTTTGCAATCCAGTGAGTTCCTACAAATAGATGCTAAACCGGACGGCTAGTACACGACATTCTAAATGCAGTTAAATTATATTTCAGTGGATACGTTCGATCATAGGCAATTTTTTCATAATATTTTGTACCGTTCTGAATGTCATGAGCAACAATTCGGTGCCTTTCACTCCGAAATGGAATCGTCCCGACTAACCAGATCTAGACACCACCGCTCGGAAGGAGCTGGCTAGCCAGACGCCTGCTGACAAGAAATTATCAGTTATGAGAACCAGCTCCGATAGTAACGGGATGACTGCCATGCCAATGCAATAACCTTTTTGCTCTTGAGACCGATTTTAGTGGGTTCTTCTTCACTCGCCCTTGACAGATGTGTTGTATTCTTAGTATCACTTTCAACCACTTGTACGCGATTTTGATCAATAGAGCAGCTGGCTCGCACGTTCACTGACTTTTCTGGTTTGGTCAAGCTAACCAGGCGAGCAAGCGGCTATCCAGACCGGGATTTACGGTAATAAAAATGCATTAAAGGATTGCAGTTTACAACAATGCTGACGCGTGACTCCCCCAGATGCAACAACACTTGAAATACCATCTTTAGGTCTGACGATCAACCGAACCCAGACACCTAAGTGAAATCCAGGGAAGGTCAACTGAGTATGAGCAAGCTGGTGGGAAAATGCGCGAATCCTGGTTTCACAATTTCTACAAGCAAAATATTTACTCACAACCATCCCCACGCAGTCACATGTGCGTTCGGACCCAAGTATCCATAAATTCTCCAACGTAGTACTGCACGTTTGATTTCTTAACTTGTGAGATCCAAGTCCCCAGTAAACGTCGCACTACTCACAATTATTAAGTAATCCGGAGGCAACTATTTCTCAAGGACTACAGAATTGTCGATGAATTGACCATTTTTAGCTGAGAGAGATTTCATCGGTTGTTCTTCACTCACCCTCAAAAGTCAGTTGTATGCGGACTATCACTATTGACCGCTTGTACGCCATATGATCAATAGAGCGGCTGGCTCGCATGTTACTGCAATTTTTGGTATGGACAAGCGCACCAGGCGATCAGGCGGCTANAGCCTGTAACTATTTCAGCTTCGTGGGGCGACCTCAACTCAGAGTTACCACATTCAAGATAATGTTTAGGATGACTTAATAGAACCACCGTAAACTGGTCTGGAGGACAGTCTACTCCTTCCCAGGATACAGCTGTTTTGTACTTGGTTACTTGGTCGACACGGTGGATGCACCGAGCAGGCTACCCAATGTTTGACAGCTTCCTTGAACTACCGTTCACATCACACTTCAGGACGAAGGCAAGAGAGAAAAATAGGAGGCGTCCCAATAGATATCGAAACGTTTGTGTGTAACAGTCAACCTAGTTATTTCGGTCAATAAAAAGCATAACATTTGGCTGTTTGTTGTACACATTTCCAAGATTTCCTTTAGGGAAGAAATGTTTCCGGCACTGCATGCAAATGCACGTGTCCTTCTTTCCATGCATGGTTCTCCTATGACAGTTGAAAGTTCATTTACTGCAGAATACATCACCGAAGTCATCAACTTGTTGTCGAATTTCCCGACGGCGAACCGCTCGCCGATGCCAAAATAGAATGTTCCTATTCACAAAGCAACTTCCGCATGCAAGATATGGATTTCCTTTTCCCTACTGCACTTGAGTCTTTCACTATTTCGATTGGTGCTTTTGCGGACGCAACGCCTTCAGCTGCACGAAAACGCCGTACATAGTACCGAAGCCCGCGCTTATTAAAGAAACGATTTTTTGCAGGAAATACGGTAGACATGAACAGTTTCGGCATGTTTTCTGTGGTGTTTCCTGGCCATCGATGGGTAACGAAATGATTATGCATTTGCGACATCTATCCTGGCCTGCATGGGTGTTCGGTTCGCTCAGCGGATCTCCGCTGGTATATTCATCCTCCGATCTGTCTGTTGGCTGTACCTCTTGAAAGATTCCTAGTTAAAAAGAGAAAAAAGATTTCAACGTCAGTTTGATTGAATTCCCTCAAGTCGGTTGTACTTGTTTATCATGAATTAGTTTTATGTGAAAATTATCACTTGACGACAATTTGAGATAAGCTGGTCAATTCTCGTTCTGCACTAACCTCAGTGTACTCTCGGCAGTCAAATTGTATCCGGTGACTCCGCGATTTTGATCGATCACTCAAACGACACCGTCGGCAGCCATGAATCAGTCGATTCTCGCTCCATCCTATAATCCTAATGAGCGAAACGGGCACCGAAAATACCCTTTACAAACCATCGTTACTTTTTACGTTGAGGGCTGTGTCTTTTCTCAAAAGTTGTACTCGTGGTTGATCGGATGGCAGTTGATCTGTTCGCCTTGGTCTATTCAGCTCCCATCCGATCAACCACCAGTAAACACACCCCAGCTACCTATACTTCGACAAATTTCTCAAAAGTTGTACTTGGTGTGTACGGCATAATAACAGCTCGTTAATTATTTCACCTGCCACTTAATGGAGAGGGGACCTCATTAGACAGAAACCAACACACAGTGTTCTTCATCCCCCCCCCAGACAACGTGTTATGGAAATCCGTGATCAATAAACTCACATTACACGCCAAAATACCACATGACCATCGTAAACATACCTATAAAAAGGGAAGCATTGTCTGATCTCGATGGACCAACGGGAAAATGGGCACTGTTCAACTACTTTTGGCTCTGTTTCATACTTCGAACATTGTGGTGGCTAAAAATGATTGTGAGTTTTGCCCGTTTTTAAATTTGTTCGAACGACTTTACCACATAACGAGTAGTGTATTTCCCTCACACGATAGGCGCACTGAATTCCCTCGTAAATTTTATGTAGTTGAGACATTAAAGCAGATAATCTATTCCACCTCCAACCCGAATTCCAGAAGCTGTTTACAGGGAAACAAATCTGAATGAACTGCAGCTGATTCAAAGTGCAGTACATATTGAGCTGTAATATCATACATCCGACCGAAAGCTTCAAGATTGTCCATAAATTCGAGATGACGTTTTTGTCTCTTCCCGTTTACGAGCTGATCTGTCTGTTTAGCGAGTACGCCTCCTTGTGTGCGTCCTTGAAATCGTATTTCCGAAGAAGACATTGTATTCTCTTCTCAAATGGAGTATATTTAGAGTATATATTTGGAATATATATAGAGTATATTTTTTTTCGACCAAATTGTTGTGCCAAATACGCCCGCCTCATCCTAAGATGCTACGGAATTCTGACAATCCAAAAATCTGCTCGAAAGTAGCTTGAAACAAATCAGATTTAGCTTGATCCTTACATCAGATATTAGGTTGCGTTGAACGAGTTTTGTGTTGTTACCGGTTAGACCACATTCGCACCTGTACTGATACTAGAGAACTCTACCTACAAGTAGCCATCACACTTGAGTGTGACTCAATCGCCGGCCTTGGAGAACTCAGTTACAAACTGTTGCTGACTTGGGACAGAATGTGTTAGGTTTCCTATTCATCTCTGAACTGTGATACTTAGCTGCCAGATAGGACATCGCACAACATCAACATGAGGAGATTTTTAAATTTTTTCAAGGAATTCCTCCAATCACTCCTCAGGGAATTCAGTCGTCGTGGATGTGCGCGAAAACCGCACGCTCCTTCCATGTGTCTTGCGAGTAACCAGTTGTGTTGAAAAAATTCCAGCGCGATTTATAACGTTCCCGATTAACCGTCATTCAGCGACGAGCTGTTCATCATCAGCGTGATCATTTCAAAGTCGGGTACAATAGTACTCCATTCTAACTGCATTTTACCGATATCCTACGTGGGACTAGGAATACCAAACTGTAACGTGGTGAAACCTTATTTATTTCTGCAGCTGTAGAAAACGTACCCGTTAGGATGACTTCGCTTGTGGCCCATTAAATAGAGGTTTGGCAAGAGCGTCGGACAAAAACGTCCCGCTCAAAAACAAAATCCATGGCCATCGTGCCACATCGAACGAACCTAGATGGCTTTCATTGTTATTTGAGTATTCCTTATGCACCTACTTGCGCAAGTTGTTATCCAAACGTCCCATTAGAATCTATCGCAGGAGATGGCAAAGCGAAACAAACGTATTCCTCACTGGATTTGTTTAAACTGCTGTGAATATATCCGAATATATCTTGTCTACCGTATGATTTTATTTTCGGCTTCTGATGACATGTTGCTTGATAATTTCTCCCGCAGAACACAATTCATAGTGAATTGTATGCAAGAATGTATGGCAAACACGTCCTGAAGAATTTCGACAGAGACTATTCAAGTGAAAATTGCGCTATATTGTCGATTTGGTTTTCAGAAAGCAGTGCTTTCGGGAGAGGAAGTTCACTGCAGTTATGTAGCCAAAATTGAAGTCTTTTGAATTTAAATGATGTGACACTTGTACACTCACGTTTTCATGCACCAACACTCCGTGTTGGCCTGTTTTGTGTGCGACGTTGTCACGGTGGAATTATTTTTTGACAACAGCGTTTCAGGTACAACGCGTTACATGTGCGTTGCCTTAGCTAGGTCCAGGAAGGAATGGAGGCCGCCGAATTGATTAGTTAGCTGAGGAGAAAGAACAATGAAACATGGCTTCTCTCCGGAAATAAATTTTCAGCACGGTGCAAAGATAACGCGGGACAGAAATTC